GTGGCTGATGCTCTCCCCTGGCCCTCCATGTTAGAAACAATCCTTCTAGAAGTATCTGGTGAGGCAGGGTCATGTGATGGTGAACACTGTTAAAATATTTACCATGATCTGTTCCAAATGGACCATAAACCAACTCCCTGGTTGGCCATGCCTTTGTATTTTATTCTGCCTGAAATGGGTGGCTCTGTCTCAGACCCTCTGCAACCCAACGTGTGTGTTCACTGGTAACAAGAGATGACTCCCAGGCCTTTGAGGCTGCATTGTTCAACATGAATACTAGTAAAAAAAAAAAACAAATTGGCCTTTTTATTATAAAATTTGTTAAATGTCTTAGTGTTTAGAGCCTTAAGATTTTCATGATTTTACCCAGATTGCACAAAGACACAATTTTAAGATGGATGCTTTGTCTTGGTTTTCATTCTTAGAGCAGTGATTTAAGCCTTGCCAGCAACTTTAAGAAGCATTTGGCTCCCATCTATTTATATAGGTGGAGACAATCCATTCCCATCAGTTCCCAAATCCACTTTGGCTTTGAAAACAGGAACTGTTTAGGACAGCATTTGGGCTGTGGAGGGAGGCGGCAGTCCTATACCTGCATGAAGAATGGAAACCCTTGACAATTCAGGAGAGAAAACACATGCAGCCCCCGTCCCTTGGAAGAGGAAACAGGCCTAAAATACAGGCAACAAAAGTAGAGGAGGCTTTGATGATAACCATTCTTTTTTTTCCCCTACCAGGGTTTTATCAAGCCTTTAATCCCATTGCATCCACCACATCTGATCTCACGTTTGGTGAGAGGTCACCAGTAATACTACGATGATAACTCAAGCCATAACAGGGCATTTATAGAGGACTCACTGTTCCTGGTACTTGCTTAAAGCCTTTGCTTTTACTTATTTAACCCCCTTTAAATTCACTCAACTGTGTGAGTGAATGGTTGCCCTCAAGACTCTACCACCCACTTCCTCCTTCAAATAAAGAGAATGAGGTGGGAAGCTACTAGCAGCTGGCCCACAATCACCCAGATGGCTTGCACCCGCTTCTAACACCAAGCCACAGCAGCCTCACTACATGCCCAGGGTTAGTGGAGGAGCCCACCTCATTACAGTGCATGTAACTGTTCTTGGCGTGAACAAGGTCTGGAGAGTCTACCACCGTGGTGAACTTGATACTGTCTGGTTTTTTACGGTACTTGGTCTATAAAAGAAAAGATTCCCATATACATGGTTAAATACTGCTTCCATCTTTAATGCCGGCTTCTCGGGACCAAACGTATATAAGACAATGGCATCTCAGAGGACAAGCCACTCTGTTTGATAGACACCTGACGGTCAGAGCTTGGGAAGGTCCTGGTGACAGTCATTTAGTTTCTTAAAGAAGGGATTCTTTACTGTAAAGGGAAGTGCTGGCATCCATGGAGCCCTGCTTAGACCCCTCCAAGCAAGTTCTATTAGTAAGAAAACCAAAGACGGCAGTGTCTCTCTCAAGGGGATTCTAGGACAGAGGCTCCCAGGCCATCAACCAGTTGGTATTGCTAGCCCTATGCAACCTTTAATACCCGAAATCACATGACTCTGCACACTGGACCAGACTCAGTGGGTAAATATAGATTCCTGAGCTGTCAATGAAAACAGTGAGCCACATCAGCTGACAACTGGTTGTCATGTGTCTAGTAAGAGTCTCCTAACGTGCTGAAATCCTTCAACTCCTCAGCAGTGAATTGGTTGCAGGGAATATAATTGTTTTAGGTTTGGGTAGCAAATAGCTCCAGAAAAAAATAATGCTGGGTGTCCATCAGCCTTGGGTCTATCCTGGCATGATCTCTATTGTGTAAACAGGTTCTCTGTTCCAAAGGAAATGCTCACGCTGCCCGTTACTCGGGAGGGTCGAGCTGACAGTACCTCACTGATGAGCTCTCCAGCCTTCTTTGCATTCTCAATCTGGGGAGATCTCAGAGCCAGCCATCCTGTGCCCTTCATGCCCATCAAGTCTGACCTGTAGTGAAACTGCAGGAAGAAAGTCAAGAGGTTCTGTCAGACCCGTGCCCAGTACCCTGAGGGCATTTCAGCAAGGCCCTGGTTTTGTAATAAGAATAATAAATCATGCCTTGCAATCATACTTCTTCCCAACAGTTCAGTGACTGCATTGAGGGAAGATTCTAAATCCAGACAATTTGGGTTCTCACGTTTTCCATGAATGAAGTAATGGAGCACAACAAAGGTAGAAGAACCCCCCCCCCCCTTAGCAAGACTTGAAGCTGACGGCGATGACATCCATGGACAAGCATTTAAAGAAAGAGCTATGTGCTCGAATCCAAGGATCAACCAGGATTATTTGGGTTCATTCTGAGGGTGAAGCAATCCAGCACCTGCCAACCAAAAACAACCTACACACCATTCAGCTGATCAAAGGGTTTTGAGCCCTGGATTGAAGCTGCTGTGACTCAGAGCCAACTACTTTACCAACATGCAACTCAGTCTCTGTGCCACATCTGAAGATCAAGACAATCCTGGTGGAAAACCTAACAGTCCCCAGGGACAAGAGGCCATTAGATTTCTGTCCTTCAGAGAGTGGCCACAGGGGGATCCCCAGGGACAAGAGGCCATTAGATTTCTGTCCTTCAGAGAGTGGCCACCGGGGGGGTGGGGGCAGTGGTCAACTGCAGGAGGAATTAAAAAACTAAAACAAATTTAAATATGATGGACTAGCAATGAGTAAGTCTTTCAGTCCTTCGTCAACTCAGTTTACCCCCTACCCCCAGGTGTAACTCGTCGTGGTTTGCTTATATTGCAAAATCAGGCAAAGCCTTAGCCTCTTTCTTCATTTTTAGGTGCTCAGAAGATTAGACCAACAGCACCATTCCCGGAAAAAATAAATAGGAGCATTACCACAGCGGCTGTGATTGGAGCCCCTAAACTGTCAAATCTTATTAGGGGTCCTTGATCTGCCTATGTCGCCTACAATGACACCGTCACCCGAAGGCCTTTCTTCTGCTCTTTATGGAAATTGGGTATTTTTAAAGGTGGCAAAAGGCTCTCTAAGGAAATCTGAAATTTGGATCTAAATGAAGTTGATGGCGTTTCTCTAATTTAGATATAAGCCCTGCTGTAACGCAAAATATCGCTCTAGATGCCAGGCTCTCTCGGCCCTTTTAGTTTCCTTTCATTTTAGGGTCCACAGCGCTCCTCACAGCGGGCCTCAAAGCAGGTCTGTCTCTGATCTACTGTCTGCCGGTTAATGCCCCTGTGCCAATTCCACACTGCTTTCTGACTGGTGAAGGGAGGCATCACTCGGGCTCAGGAGCAGGTTTCAAAACCCCACGTCAGTAAGATTGCTTTTCATACCGTGCCTTTTCAGTCTACACCGGCGAGGCTTTTGCCTTCGACTCTGATAAAGAGCAGAGAAAATTGGATAAATTTCTAAGTTGGAGAGAATGATCCTACAGGGCCTCTTCACAGTCAGGCCCTGCTCCTTTCATGAGAGAGACCAGGTGGGGAGCACTCTTTCAACTTGTCTTTTGTTGGGCTGAACAGTACGATTACAGGTAAGTCGGGAAACAAGATGCAGGTCCCCAAAGATCCGGCTGTGCCTCTGACTCTGATAAACACATCATCTATTGATATCTCCCCAGCCCAGCTTTGACTATTCACACAGACCCTAAAAAACAACACACCTGCCCCAGACTTCATGATCAAAGGAGGGAGAGAGGAGAGGAGCCGAGGAGAGTCAGCTATCCAAAGACGGCTTCAGAGAACAAGTCTAAGAATAAACCTTCTCAAACTGCCCGCCCCGGGTCTGACTCACCCAAATGGCAGATTCTGTTTTTCCCTTATACTAACTAAGGTCTAGAGGCCACTTGAAAATTCATGAGTGAGACTTTCCCGACATCCCCACTTTGGAGCAATCTCTTGCAAAGTGCTAATAAGGGTGGGTACCCAGGCAGTACCTGGAGGAAAGGGTGTGTTCGTCATATGGACCAGAAGTAATACCCTTACTACTCAAGCAGGACTGTTTAGACTCATTACCTCAACGCACAGCCATTCTGGCTTGCAAAGGAGGGGTTCTTGTCCTCAACCACAAAAAAGAATAGTTTTCGTCATCAAATGATGTTTTGGAGCTGGAGAAGAGCTGTGGGCTGATGCGCTCTGGGCAAGCCACACTGGAAGTCATCAAGAATACAGACTAGAGTGACTGGGCCATAATTTTGCCACCTATGGATTGGACCAGAGATCGGGAGTTCAGAAGCCCTGCCCCATCTCGTTCTAGTTCCAGGGCTTGGGGAAATCATTTCTCCGCCAGCTTGTGGCCCAAGGCAGATGATAATAAGGGCCTCGGATCTGCACTTATAATTGTTTATACTAATACCTGGCCCTGGAAGTATGGGTTCTGTACATTCTAATCATCATCATTGTTGTTTCTGATGGGGAAACTGAGGCCTGGGATGCTTCAAGAGTCAACCTGAGGTTGTTGCCCTGAAAAGGGTAGGACACAGTATGTTTTAAGACCTCCTATGGCCCTGGTATGAGATCATGCAGGAGCAGAGAACAGTAGATGCATAAAAGACCAAACAGGCTATGGAGGTCACTGCCATGCGTTCATGCTGGAGGCCCCCAGGCCAGCCTGCACATCTCAAGCGGCATTCAAAGGAAACCAGAACTTGGCATGGCATCAGCCATCATGGCCTTGGGGTTTGGCCCAAGTGAGGGGCGTCTCTCAGACCTTCGGATACAACCCAATGCGTTCTTCCTGACCAAGGCAGGGAAATACAGGAGAAGCAGCTAAACTAATGAACTCCTTCTGAGGGGCTGGGGTGAGCCCTGAAGTTCAGAGCTATTTCTGCTCCTGCAGTTCCCAGCACCCAGCAACCATACAAACCAACTCACAACTGCCTGCAACTCCAACTCCAGGGGATATGATGCAACCTTGCTCACAAAGTGTACACACACACATGCATGTGTGCGCACACAATTATTTTTAAAAGAGCAGAGACGGATGAATTCACGCTGAGCATGTGTTCCCTTTTCTATATAATCTAGCCATGGAAGACGGACATTTTAATAATGACTATAGTAAAGTTGGACACCCTGGGCTTTATCACTGTTAAATACGGCTGGGGGTTCAGACTTCTTACATCTAACGGACCACAGGCCAAAAACAGTTCGCAGAGCATCACGTCGTGGTCATGTGAAACTGAAGCCATCATTGCTTAGGTCTCAGAATTGTAAATCAGATCCTGTTTTTAAAATGTTAATATACAGTTGCCGGCTACCAATTCTCCTTTTGAGATTGTGTTCTTGATATCTTTTAAATGTTAAACTTTTTCCTTTCTTTTCAAAAATAGCAGTAACATAAATCATACCTTTGGGTGGTATTTAGGTTTTTCTTTTTTCCTTTCCTTGGTAAAATAAAAATTAGAGTTATGTTTATCCTCTTGTTAAAAGAAAATTTCCAATGACACTCAAACATCTGAAATGATGGACCAGACCAAACCTTGTGCTTTGCTGACCCTGGGATGGAGTCCAGAAAATCAGGTGACTACTCAGGGTAACCTAAGCCAGCTAAGGGCAGAGTTGAGTGAACATCCATTTCTGGCTCAGCAACAGATAACGATGACTTATTCACTAATAAGATCATTATTATAATAGTCAATAACCATTTTGTGTGCATGATACCCTGCTGATTGAACTAAGAGCAGGCACTGCTCTGAAGGCTGGGGACTAGGTGTAGGGACTTACGGAGGCAGCTGTTTCTTCTGGGATTCTGTGGACCAGGCTTTATGATAAGCATATCACACAGACCAGTTCTCAGCTAAAAATGGGACTCTCAACCCAAGTTAACTCGGCTCCCCCAGGGATGTTTGGAAATGCTTGGAGATACTTTTCTTCTTCAGTCATAGAGACCTGAGATCTGAGCTGCTGGTAGGTGTTCTGCAGGGCTCAGAATACAGTGTCATTGTTTGGCCTAAGATCTCCCAAAGGTATGAATACATGACATGACAGGCCAACTGCCAACAGGCCCATAGCTTTCAGTCTAAACTGGGGATCGCTTCTCCTTAGGGTTGTTGTCATAGGGCCCAGAGAGATGCTGGATGGCACCGTGCCTGTCACTCTGTGTGTCCTACATACCCATTGCAGATGACTGCTTTTCTATTGTCACCATGTCCAAGACTTTACAAGGATGAGGGACCTGCGCCAGCTCACATGGCCAGTGTGGAGGAATAGGCTATACACCTCAGAACTATGACTCCAGACCCTTCCTCCATGACATGGAGTGGAGCTGCTCCCTTGCCTTTGTTCTTAACTAAGGCACGATCTCACCTCTGAGAGCCTTGGGGTCCACACCTGTTGACCCAAGATTTCTACTGCTTTAAGATCCTTCAAGGGAGTCACAGTTTAGAGGGCAGCATCTGAGCCCACCTTACCAAGCCTACCCCTCCAGCTGCTCCCAGAGCTGCAGCCAGGGCAAAGGGGGCAGTCAGTGTCAGTCATGGCTGCATTGCCTTAGCCGTATCCCCACCCTTTCCATCCCCAGTCTTGTCCCACTCCCTGAGACCTCTTAATTCATCCATGTCTTTTTTTCATGTATGTGTGTGTGTGTGCATGGTGTTCATAGTGTATACATGTACATACATGTATGTGAACGTGTGTGGGCACAAGTGTGGGGGTGCATATGTGTATGTGCATATACAAACTTGGAGTTGGCATCAGGCATGTTCTTCAATCATTCTCCACCCCTGTATTGATGGACGCAGGGTCTCTCACTGAACCCAAAGTTTGCTGACTTTTGGCTATCAGGCTTGACCTGGGCACCCCAGTCTCTGCTTTCTAAGTGCTATAATTGCAGATGACTGTCATACTTATCTGGCTTTCATGTGGGTTCTGGGAGTCCAAACTCTGGTCATCTCACTTGTGTACCGGGTGCCTTGTTCACTGAGCCATCTCCATGGCTCTTACTCATGGCTTCCGTTCGCCCTCAAACATGCCATGACTGTTCCCACTCAAAGTTCTGCCTTGGAACTTTCTGTTCTATTTGCAGAGTTCTCTACCTCCTTCTTCATTTCCTTTAGGCCCCTGTTCAAATTCTACCTTTCCAATGAGAATTACAAGGATGCCCTGTTATAAAACACACACACACACACACACACACACACACACACACACATTCTCACACCTTCCACCACAATTCTGTGTCCCATTTATCTCCCTTGTAGTTATCACCATCTGAGATATAAGATATTTGCCATATCAACCACCATTAATCTCCCTCAAGGCGGTGGAGATATTTTTTTACTCTTTTGCTGACAACAGTGCTCTCCCAGAAGGAGAGAAGACTTAAAAAGAGGAGAGGGAAAGAGAGAAGAGGACAGGAGATGGGATGCGAAGGGAGGCCAGAAAATCAAGAGCAGGAATTCAGGTGAAGAGAGACAGAAAACAAGATAAGCCATAAAAGTGCTGGCTGTATAGTAGCTGCTCAATAAAAGCCAATTGACACATTTGGGGTGGAGAGGGTTCAAAAGGTCAAAGATGGACATCAGGTGTAGCAGAAGGAAGGGAGGACTAGCCAGCACTGTAGAAACTTACCTCACTCTGTAGGGCATGGGCTTTCTTGGCCCAGGCCATCTTTAGATCCTCAGGCAGTGCAGTGAACTCATGGTACTGTGTCCGGTAGTCATGGTCACTGGCCAGGGCCTGGGCCTTCCTGGCATGGACCAGGTGCACCATATCCATGGGCAGGTGGCACTGGGCTTGGCTGCTGGCTGCCTCCTTCTTGTATCGATTCTCACTCTGCAGCTGGCCCATCCGCTGGCAGTGCCGTAGTCGTGGGTCATCACTCACACTGCGGACCCCAATGAGTTGTCCCCGCTCCTTCACAAAGTCGTGCCTGTAGAGAAACTAGAAAGGACAACCAGTCGGTCAGGGGCCAGCATGTAGCTAACACATACCCACAGCCCAGTGGTGCATAACCACTGGGGTAACAGGCCCTGGGGAGGGGCCAGCTCTTCTTGTTCTAGGTAGCGATGACTCTAAGAGCTACCACGGGCACTTGGCCTGAAGCATGCCTCCCTCCCTCCCTCCCTCCCTCCCTCCCT